AAAAAAAAAAGTGGCAGCTGTTGGAAAGCATAGCCCATTTGTTTTATGGTGCCGCTTTGGGAATATGATCCAGATCCTACATGAGAGAGAAAGCAACAGAGTGAAAGAGAAGAGGGGGGAATGTAGAAGCTCTGGAAAATAACTTGCTTATTTTAAGTCTAGTATAGAAAGTTAAATCTTTATAGCAAGGTTCAGGGATAAAGCAGAACCGCTGCGAGAGCTTGGGAATCAGAGCTTGGTAGCTTAACGTAAGTCATTTTAGAGTTTGTTGGCTGTTTTGTACAAAATTTCAAGTGCATTGAAATGTCTTTGATTGTCCTCTAGTGAGAGGTGCCTGCAATGAGGGGATTAAGATCTGAAGGCAGGTTGTAGAGTAACAACGTGATCCTTATTGGGGTTTATTTTTAATTTGCTTTAGCACTTTAGGTTCTCTGCGGAAGGCACTTCTGTTCATTACTCTGACTCCTGATTTCAGTTAATTGCAGGGCACAAAAGACTAAAGCAGAAGAACCGGCGGCAGCCAAAACCATTCGTAGTTCTACACCTTGGGCTTCTGCCAAGCAATTAATGGAAACTCCAACTATTGTTGTTGACAGGTCAAAAAAATCCACTCCTTCTGTCAGCTCCTCAGATTCTCTAGGAGCTTCCCTCTAAAAACAAAAGAGATATCCAATTGCTGTTCCATCGAATGGATGTAGTACAGGTAGGACGCACGTAAAACGTGGTCAGTAGGACGAGGCGATGTTACCGAAAGCTGCTCAGCCCAGAAGTCCTGCCCCTTTGGTCAGACTTTTCTTGCTCTCTCCTGGCTCCTGGAGACACTGACTCACTGTCTGCTTCCTTCCCTCCGCAGCTATCCATGAAGGAGGTGGGAGACGGGCTGCACGAGCAGATGAACTGCATGATGGGTGCACTGCAGGAGCTCAAACTCCTCCAGGTCCAGACAGCTTTGGAGCAGTTGGACATCTCAGGGAGCCGAAGCACCGGTTCTGGCACCGAGCGGCACCAGTGCTGCCGAGGCAGCGGAGACGTGCCCGGGGCCCCGCAGGATGCGCGGCTGCGGGGGGAGGCGTCGGCGGAGGAGCTCAGCCCCACGCCCCTCGCGTGTGCCGTGACATGGCCAGTGGGTCTGTCCCATCCCGCGGTGCTCCCGGAGGGCAGCCACCTTGGAGACACCCTCTCCTCCTCCGGGAGCCTCTGCGGCGAGGACACTTATCACCCAAAAGGACCTTCCTCTGCTTCCATCGGAGCAGAGCACGGCCGCCCAAGGACATTCGAGCCCAGCAGCCAGGGCACGGCTGGGGGGGGGCC